ATCGTATTGCATTTCCCGATTTCGCTGGGGGGTTACCTTTTCCACATTCCTTCTTTCTTTTTCGTTTTTTTTCTTGTTTTTTTTTTTTTTCTTTTTTCTGGGTCTTTTGAGCAGCGAACAGATGTGCTCGTCGAATGTGGGTCGGTATTTTGGTATCGCTGAGCACACAGAACTGTATTTAATTGATTCGCTGAGAATTCCTCGGAGCCATCGGTCAAGGTATTAGTTTTAATCGAAGCACATTTCTTTTACTTTTTTTTGGCAGCCAACTGCTGGTAACTTATTCCTTGTGATGGATATTGCTGCTTTAATTGGGCCTAATATCAGTTTTAGTTTTATTGGTTTCAGTATCTAAAACTTTGCATATTTCTTTGACTTTTTATGTAGAAATTAAAGCATGAAATGTTTTTTGTATCTCCATTTTTTAGGGGCATAGATCTTTATCTCGAATTTTTCATCTTAAAATTAATAACTTAATTATTAACTGTCTAATTGATGTACTCACTGCGTAAAACCCTTGGTGCACTGCATCCTGATGTTCAACTCCAAGTTACCAACTGTTTTTGGCATTCCATTTAATCTACTATTGTTATACCCTGCAGAGGGTATTATGATTTCAGTCAGAAGTTATACACTTATATGCATATACATGTTATGACTTCATCCCTAAAATAAAATGCTATATCACAGCCTGGCTTTATGGCATATATACGCCCTCATTCGCCGGCCGATTTCCATGCCGATTCAAATGATGCCCTGGGCGTGGGTCGAAATTTACATTTATTTAATTTGCACTGGCCCCGAGAAATGCAAATGCCACAGTTGCAATGCGAAATGTTTAAATGCAGCCGCTCTATCGCTTTCTCCCTCTCGCATCGTGTTCCCTTCCCTTTCGGATTGAGTAGTGCCGTCTCTTTTGGCATTAATGCATATGCATGAGTCTTAAGCAGGACCACGCCTTGAAGTTCGCACTTGGAGGCGACTGAATATCCAGTACCGAAATTATCGACACTTAAAATGTTGCAAGCGTCGCTTGTTTGCCACCTCCTTTCCACCTCCCTCTCCCCCCCCTTTTTACTACCCTTTTAGCCCCCGTTAACCCGCACACCTCCCCCCTTCCTTCTTTCCTTTTTTGGGGCACTTCCTCTGGGGTCTCTTCATCTTCGTCTTCATCGCAGCCGCGTGTCGTTGTCCTGCCAAAGGATTCCCGTCGACGTTTATGTAATCTTAATGTTTATGCAGCTTATGCTTCATAAATTCGCCACGCCCGAAAGTACATTCCCCCCCCTTCGGAATTTACCCCCTTCCCGGCCCCCACTTTTACCGCTGCCTCTGGAAATGCGCTGCTTTCGGCGCCGCGACGTCGTCTTCCGGTGGCATTCTGCGCCATCGCTGCTGGAGCTCCACTCTCCATCCAGTTTATACCCTTGCCGCTCGGTAATTTGCCCCGAGTTTTGTCCACGCTTCCAGTAAAACTTTGTGGAACCTGCGAAAGCCCAGAAATAATGATGGCAAAAATATTTGGGAACTTCAAGTTCATCACCCTAAATTTTAACTTTCGTGGGGATCTAATAATAATACTAAAAGTGCCTTTATGTCTTGAACAGAGAGTTGCACTAAGTACTTATATGTTATTTAAATATTTTAATAAATGCTTTAATAATGCTTTCTTATAATAAAATTATTTCAATTTAAGTAAATATAATGCTATGCAGAAGTATGAGCAAAATGAATTTCAGTTAAATCACAATAAGTTCCAACAACAATTATTTTTTACTAAATACTAAAGTGCTTACTTAATTGGCTTTAAAGTGCTATTCCTTCTTATTATTACTAAATTCAATTCAAAAAATATTGTACCATTAAGTTTTATGCAGGGTAACCAGCGATTCGCTTCCCTTTTCGTTGGCAATTCATTTTGTGTGTTTTTTCGCAGCTCTTTTACTTTTTGCTTCCTTTTTTTGCACATCCGTTGCCGTTTGTGCCATTTGTTTATTGCCAGTTTCATTGCTTCATTGCGAACGTTGGCTAGCTACACTACGCTTATCTGCCTCACACCCCTCCCCCCTCCCCCTTCCCCTTTTTCCCTTCCCCTCCATCCAGCGGAGAAAATCCTGCCACCTCCTTCGTGCAGCTTGGTCCTTGCAGCTCCATCTTCATCCGCAACTCGCACTCATCCTCATTTCGCCTTCGCCGTCGCTCCTGTTTTATTTTGGCTGATGGAAATATTTTTACGACAAGTTTTTCGCGAAGATTTGCAACATTTGCAGAAAAAACAAGGGGAGGAGGGGAAAAGAGCAGAGGGGGGGAGAAAGGAAGTGGATGTGGCGTTGTGGAAGTTGTGCGAATCAGCGCAAAAATTCTGGGAGCGGTCCGAAATGAAACGCAACGCACATTCTGGCCATAAAACGCTTACCATTGATGTGTTCTGGCTTTGATCAGCCCATGACCTCTGACCCCGCAGCTGACCATCGCCACCCCCTCCCGCTCCCCCTTCTTCCACCTTATTTTATGCCGGATGTTGTGAGGTTTTATGTTAACATCGGTGGGCAGAAATGGAATGACATTTTGCCCGACTCGTTCGTTCATGAATTTCGCATGCGGCAGCAGAATGCAAAATTATAATTAGGCAGTCGCGTGATGCGAGCGAAACAAGAGATACGCTCTGCCACGCCCCCTCCCCGCCACCTTCTGCTTCCCCATTCCGCCCCTTTTTTGCCCGATTTCCCAGTCAACGCACGTTCGAGCATAAAGTACATTTTATTAGCTTGCCTTTTGCATCGGCCACGTTGGTTCAGTGTTTTCAGTGCGGCAGCACTTTCGAATTCCCCTTTTCCAGCTAACGGATAACACGTAATTGGTGTGACCAGGTCAGGGAAGATGCAGGATTACTGCTTGAATGTGATCAAAGGGGTTCAGTTGGAAAAGTGAACAAATTTCAATTACGCGTAGCATACTAAAGATGAGTTCACATTGGTAATCCCGAGAAATTGTATAGTATTTCTACATACAAATTGCAACGCAAATTTTAGTTTATTAATGCAAGTCTTTATAATAGGAATAAATATTCAAAGTGCAATCATACATATAAAACCCAAATGAAGTCCGTTGACGTTTTTAAAGGCCCAAACTTCCGTATTCCCTTTTTCAAGACCAGAAAATTCGGGTCACACTCAACATGATTAGGAACACGAAAGGAAACTAGCTTTAGCAAGTCGAAGATTATATACACTTGCAGTTTTTATTTAAGTGTATAAAAGATTCTGGATACCAGTATTTAAATCTTGAATGGGATAACTTTTTAATATCGCCACGAATTGCTAAATGTCAAAGCTATGAATATTTTATTTCCAAACTTCTGATTAACATCAAAAACACCCTTTGCAAGGGTATAAAAAGTGTTGAGCCTTTCTTTATAATTTGAAGCGCTCACCTTTTTTCCGCTGACAACGCTGCGTATGCGTAATAATTTTTTAGTTGCGCCACACCCGACACAAAGTCCAGGGCAGTGCAAATAAATATTCAATTGCAAATGGCTGACAGGACGGACAGCTCACACCCTTAATATTTTCAACGAAGGGGAGGGAAAAGGGGAGGGGGAGTGGGGGAGTGGGAAATCTACACGCGAAGCGGACGCGCTCAAATTGCAAATTGCGCTCGTTTACAAGTGAAATAAATGCGCGAGTGCCTGCCATTTGGCAAAAGTCAGGCATAAGGCACCATCTTCGCACAGATCCTGACCCACCGCATTTTCCACGACACGATTTTCCACACCGCTTTGCCACCCCACTTCCCACCTTCCTCCACTTTCCGCTTTCCTTCTTGTGGCTCTGCATTAGAAAAATGAAGCGTCGTGCCGCAAAAGACAAGTTGTTCGGTCGTTGGCATTTTTGTGTTGCGTGCTCTTTGGGCGCGTAATTAGATAAGCAGGCTGGTTTGGGCATGCCCCACCTTTTCACCTTTCTAGCTCCCCACCTCTCCACTGCTCCTTTCAAGCGGTGTGTCACCAAAAAAAAACAACAAAAGAACAGCAACAACAAGAACGAACACAAAACGAGCCGCTGACAGATGGAGCGTCATAAAAGCGGCAGCAACAATGCGCCGCAGAATGTCTGAGGTTAGGAAAAGCGGGAAAAGGCCGAAGAGCCGAGAGACCGAGAGACCAAGGAGTGGAGCTGCGGAATTGTTGGCGGGGATTTGTCACGTGGCCAAAAGGAGCAGACACCAAAAACAGGAAACACACAAAAGGGGCAGGGAAACGGGAAGAGGGGTGGGGAGGAAAACGCACCTGGGCACAAAGGGGCGGACAAGGACACAACATGCAATTATACGCAATCAACATAAATCATTCAAATTGCCACACACACACAGAACAGACACAGACACAGACACACACTAACACACACAGACACACATAGAAGTGGAGGGAAAATAAAAGGCAAGAAATGCCCGAGGCACACTTCGAAAAAGGGGGCGGCTATGTGGTGGGTATGGGGGGCGTGGTCACCGTTGACGTTGGCTTTTGGCTAATTTGCAATTGAAATGCCCAAATTCTGTGGGCTGGCCGCATTACGCATACGCCGTGTGGCTGCGTGGCAAAGGCTCCTTAAACATCCGCTCAGCCCATCCATCTTCGTTGCCCCTTCGTCTCCTTCTTTCGACGACTGACAAATGCCACGGGGGCACGTGAGGCGGCCAATGGTTAGTGGCCACTGGCAAATGAATCCTGGGGATTGCCCGAGTGCCTTGGAGATTTTAACTTTTTATTTTTTGCGATATTACCCCGGCATCCTTGGAGATTTTCGTTGGTTAAGTGCTTCGCAAAACATGCTGCAAGTCTAAAAGGCAAGGTAGAAAAACATTATTTAAATACAAAAAAAAGGAGAGCTTAGGCAATCCAAAACAAACAAAAAATATTCGTCTGACTTTTGCATAAAAGCAAGAAATTCATTTCAAATTTATATTTCAAATATGCACTCGTATATTAAAAAACAATTGAATTACGGTTTTGACATTCATTTACGATTTTTATGAATTATTTTGAGCTGCTTAAATACATTTCTCTCAAGCGTTATTTACAATATATCCCCGAGCTTTGCCAAAAGTATATATATCCTCCAGTCAAGAAAGATATGTCTTCTCCTCGACGGGAAATCTTCACTTTTTGCAATCGGTTGCTGATTTTTTTTTTTTTTGCCTTTTTCGGGGAAAATCTCGTAACACGGGAACTTAGGATTTTGATTTCGCTTGTGAAGCGAAAAATTAGCAAGAGTTTAAATACTTGATTTGCTAGATTTGGACAACAGTGCCAAAGTTCAAATGCAATTCCGTGGAAGCGATGAGCAGAGCACACGCGAATCCCATTCCAGCTCCCTTTCCCAAGATCCCGGATCCCGGAGGATGCCACTTCTTGTCACTCGAAGAGCAGCTCCATCGGCACGCCGTAGATCTCGGCCAGCTGCAATTTGGTGTAGGCCACCACGCCGCTGGGACAGTAGGCCATCGCCTCGTCCAAGGTGATCCACTTGGCCGTCGATTCACCGGCGCAGATCACGTGCAAGTAGACGATCCCCTCGTAAACCGAGTGGCTAATGATGCCCATCAGGTTGCTGGTAGCGCCACCGCCGCCGGCGCCATTTCCGCTTCCGCTGGCGTCGCCGCTGCCGTTGCCATTTCCGCTACCGTTTCCGCCTCCGTTTCCGTTTCCGCCGAAGATGTTACCGTCGCCGAAGCCACCGTGGTTGCTGGCATTCGCGTTCGTCGAGGTGCCCGGATTCAGATTGATCACCATCTTGAAAGCGCTGCAAACAAAAAACAAATATATCAAATAAAATGTGAAAGGTAAAAGTTCGTCAAATATCAAACACAATTTAAAACAGCCTTAAATACTCAAAAATATCTCCAATAAATGCAAATACAAATCGAGGAATTTTCTGACATCTACAGAAATTATACTTTTCTAGCTATAAAAACAAAAAACTAAATAATAATTTATAATATCTATCTAATCTAAAATTTGAATACAGAAAGCATTATTTTCATTTACACAATATATTGTTAATATTTCTGACTATAAAATATAGAAGTAAAAATATATAACAAGAAAATTATGCTTATAACAAATCATAGTATCTGCTATTAATTACAATACATACAAATGACTTACTTGAGAAGGAAACTATCAAAAGTGGAAAAGAAATCGGGCTGGAACCAGTGGTCGGTGTGGCTTGAACCTGGGGCTCCGTTGGGCCTCTTGGCCCGATTGGCCCTCGGCTTCCACTTGATCGGGGTCCACTCTTAGTCCTTCGCGAGCCTTGAACTTTGAACTTACCAATTTGGAGCTCTGTCTGAGCGATCGAAAGGACTCCTTTGCAGCCGTGCAAAAGATCTGTTCAACGCGACTGGGCGTCCAAGTCGCAAGTCGCGATTGTGTTGCACGTTGCGAACTCGTTGGCTATGATTTTTACCGTTTGATTATTATTTTTTTACGATTTTCCTATATATTTTTTTTGTTCAAACGGTGTGTGTGTGTATAACTGTGTCGGTTGTGTGTGTCCTATTCGATTCTACTAAGTCTAATGAAACCTCACATAAAAATGGCATTATATTCAATGCCAGCTAGCTTTCTTTGTTTTTCAAAGAAAAAATTACAATTACATAGGTACATTACATACTCTTGCATGTTGGGATTTAAAAAAATGGCAATATCAAACAAATTCGGCAAAAATATAATTTAATATTGTCTGATATTCTGAACTTTTTATTGCTATTTATGCGTTGCAGTCAAAATATTTGACATATTACAATTTTCGTTTTATTTAAGTTACTGAAACCAGTGAAAATATTTAACCGGCCAATTGAAATGAAAGCACCACGACTGAGAAATCAACTTTTAAAAACTTTATACCAGGGGCTTCAAACATTGCAAAACACCAAAACAACGAAAAGAAAACATGAGAACACTAAACATGCAAAGAACCCGTTTTTTCTTTAAGTTGTGTACACTGAAGAGAATTAGGGAACATACATTTTCGTATTAGTAGCTAAGAATATTATTTTAAATAAGACGATTCCACAATGCTGTTCTGCATTATACATTCTATCTTCCGTTATTTGATTACAGATAATACATGACTATTCATTCATTAATCAAATTTCTTTTCCAAAAAACCAATCAGATTTTTTAAGTGTACGCCTGCTGTCAGTGCAACAACAAAATTAGCTTAAAATTTTTTCGTACGATTGTGAGTAGTGCATATGGAGAATAGAGATGGAAAGGAGAAAGCGAAAATTGTTTTTGTAAACTGTGCTATTTACCGTTTATAGTACGTACATACGCAGAATCAGTCGCCCATAAGCAAGAGCAATTACAAAAACAAAAGAGCTGGATGTTCTTACTTCTTCTCTCGTAATTCACTAACACTGTTCATCTCTTTCGACGTCGCCTGGCAACACTGGCGCTTATGAATGTGCCACATTATGTTTGGCTTTTGTCTGCAACGAATGAAGCGAACAAATAAAACTTTCACGGCAAAGTTGCTGCTGCTGAGCTCCACCTGCAGTAGAACACCCACCTTCGTGTCCGCGCTTAGCTCTTATTTACGGCGGGAAGTGCAGTGCGGGAAAGTGCGGGAAAGCGCAGGGAAAGGGAAAGGAAAAGCGCCGGAGCTGAGCTTAAGTCGAGGCAACCGGAGCCCCCAAAGCAATTAAATCGCATTCGCTGTGTGGGAAGCAAATAGGATTCCCGGATGGGAGGGGATTTTCCGGAGGGTCGGTGTCCGGACAGAGACAAACAATCAAACGGAAATTAATTGCGGTATGTGTGAAAAGTGAGAGCCAAAAGCTGCTCGGTAAATGATTGTCCACCGGCGGGTTCTCCCCTTTTCGCCATGGCAGCTCATATGTACATATCTCAACCCCCCGCCAGCGCTTAACCCTTGATGGATAGTTCGCACAGGATTGGAGCATTGACTCCTGATGGCAATAAAAACAGAGGGGGAGGCAACTTCGGGGAGCAGAAGCTGGAATGCCCTACAAATTCCCAACAAACAACCGAAAAAGGGATGAAAGAATACACCGCCTGCAGGTATTTTATTTAATAATTTAACTACAAACTGGAAAAGGTATGAAAATTTAAAAAGGATTCGTTGGGTTGAGCTCACCAAAAAGTACAATTAAAGCGCTTAGCAGTAAAATTTAAAAGGATTTGAGGTAAGTCAGTTTCAAATCGAGTCAAAATTGTAAAAGATATGATTTTTAATGGGGTCACATTTTTTAAAAACCATTGGAAAAATCCAAAATGCAGAGGGCTTAGAAAATCGACATCCCTTAAAATAAAACATTTTAATGCAGCTTATTTAGGAATTTAATCACAAAAGATTAGAGATAGTTGCATATCAAATCGGTATTAAATTGGTAAAGTTATGGACATTCTGGGTCACCTTTTTACTTTAGACATGTTAGATAAAAATCGATAGTTCAATGTTTTTGCTGAAACATTCTTTCTTTCGCTGTCTGCCATGGCATTCTGCCAACTCATTGAACTTATGTTTAACACAAAAGAGTTCCACGTTCATGTCACGGCATTACCAAAACCCATTGAGCCATTGAGCCATCGTTCGAAGCGTAATTAATACACCGTTACGTGCACTTTTCGGCCAACAATGGATGGCTGAAATGAGTCGAGGAGTCAAGGGAAAATGAGTTCCTTTCGGAACACCACAAGGCCCCTCAATTGTCAGCCGTAGAACCGTAGAACCGTAAAGCCGTATCCATATCCGGATCCGGTACGTAATGAGCCGCCTCATTGAACCGGCAAGTTGAGTTATATCTTCATGAAAGATTTGACAGTTGCACATGCTGTCCAAAAAGGAAAAGTCAGGAAAAGGAGGGGGAAAGGGAAATGGGGGAGTGCCACCTCGGTTACACGCCTCGGTTGATTCCGGCATCCGCTGCAACGCTCTTTGCCAGCCAAGCGTTTCATATTGCCACCTGTCACCACCCACTCAGCCACCCACCACCCACCACCCACCACCCATCACCCATCACCCACTTCGCAACCCACTCCACCACCCACTTGCAGTCGCACTCACTTCATAATGCTGTCAAGGTTGAGCGATGCTGAAATATTGAAGCCTGCCCCTTAAATATTCACGAGTTGGTGGCTTGATGGGCGAGCTTGGTGCTGGTGTTGCTGTTGGCTTTGGCTTTAGCTTTAGACTTGGCCCGAAGCAGGTGATGCCGCAATGAAAACCGTCAAAATCCTGAATATTTACTTGTCTACTTAGCAGAATTCATCCTTAACTTGAAGTCGTTTCAAAAGTATTTACATTTGAATAGTGCAGCCATGAAAACGATGCTTAAGTTGACTTTACTCAACAAAGGCGCAGAGTTTGCAATTTAAAATTTATTTAAGGGCCACGCTGGCACTAACAAAAAAAAAAAATTGCACTCAGAGTGGGTCAAGTTGGGACGGTGTCCCATTAGCAAAAATAATAATCCACTTGCTGCAGAAAATGTTGAAGAGCGGACTTAAAATGCACAGATAAACAAACTAAAGTTTAGGTTCAATGTTTCCGACAAATATTTTTACTAACTCTATTTTAGATAATTTATAATACTTTCTTTCTTACTTAAATAACAATTATCTCCTTTAATCTGTTTATTTACCTATTTTCCTAAAAGTAAAATGTTATACTTTTTACTTATTAAAACATATTGAACCTGTTTGAACCTATAACAAATTTCGAAACAAATTTGCCCTGTGTGTTTGGTAAAAGCTTAAGTTTTTATAATAACCTAAGGAAAGATTGCTCAAAGAAGTTAAATCTGGGGCCATGGCTGTTTGATTGACTTGTGAATGAATGCAGTTGGCCAGAGGTCAACACACACATACACACACACACACATACAAGACCAACGACTGACACAAATATGTGTGTGTTTTTGCCATTTCACCTTTTGTTCTGACCAACTTGCTGTGGAGCATCCAGCATCGAAAATCCAAAAACAATTCAACTCCCGTTCCAGGGTTGCCAACATCAACAATTTATGCACAACAAACTGGACTCTTTTGAATGGCAAAAGGAGAGAGAAGTAAAAATAATAAAAGCAAAAAAAAAAATAAAGAAAAAATGGGAAAAAAAGATACGGGAAAGTCCAGTCTTGCAGCTAGAGCTAACTTTTAGCTTGGCTTGTTAGTTAAGCGTAAACAAGGGGCGGCAAAGCCGGAGTGGGCGGCAAAGTCGGAGTGGGCGGGTCATTTGAATGCATGTTTGGATGGACAGACCTCAGCGCCATCGATGATAAGCGAGAAGTCAACAGCGGTGAAAGGGGGTCGAGTGGAACGGAGGAAGGCGGAGAAAGTGGGTTTGTTCCCAGGTGGGTGGGTAATGGGTGGTAATGGGTGGCTTGGTCGGTTGGGTGGTTTTCTGATGGGCGGATTGGTCAGTGGATGGCTGCCATGTGTTTGAGAGTTTGCGGCGGCAGAGGCGCAGAGTCAACGCCAATGGTAAATATTTAGCTCTCGGCTGCACTTGAGATTAACTCGCACACAGATGCACGCAGCCATCCTGGGGTACCTATACACATACACATACACATATACATACATACATAGTGAGTGGGAGAGGGACAAAAGACGAAGCGGAGCGGAGGCAAAATACAAACACACTCAAAAGTGAAAATGGAAAAAGTTTCAATGGTTTTATCATGTTTACTTTTATTTGTGTCACTGAGTGGTTGTATAAGCCCAGGGGTCAGGGGTCAGGCAGCGGATAAACCAACACAAACACAGACGAAGGAGGGGTGAAAATGTGGGAAGAAGGAGGAGGGGGAAGGGGGAACAAGGAGGGAAAGTACGAGCAAAGGACTCACACAAGAAGCGTATGTTCAACACACTCGAGGGAGATCACTGGCTGCCGTGAAGTGCCCGACAAGTGACAGCACTGGATTTCGATAAGAAGCCGGGACAATAGCTGTGTCCTTGGTCCTTGCTCCCGTAGTCCTTGCCTTCCCCCCAAAGCCAAAGCCAAAGCGAAAGCCACAGAGCAACAGAAACATCTCCGGGCATCGAACTGCGAAATTCCCTGAATCCCACTCGAGTTACGCCTTTAATGCGCCGACGACGAACATCCTGGCAAACTTCGGCCGCTCGAGGACAACGCCTGGAGTCCTGGAGTCCATCTAATCAGGTGCTAAGCTGCAACCAACAGCCAGCTGTTGCAGCTCCGGCGATTCGTTAGCCGATTTTACCGATTTCTGACCGCCGCGGCCATAAAGAACTCGTGGCTTTTGCGGCTTTCCAATCCCAAGGTCGAGTGCGGATCCGGGCACAGCTTAATTTCGAGGAAAACAAAGTGAAAAATCCGCCAGGATATCCTGGGCATTGTATTTTCAATGGAGACATCAGATCAGAGAATCCTGTAAAAACTAGAGTAAATAATATATAATATAACAAATAAAACAGGTAAGTGATGAGTAATATATTTTCGTGTATATATACTTAGTTATTTTTATACAATCTGTGTTTATTAATCGCTTTTAAAGCCATTCATTTTCGAAAGATATAAAGTG